AGTGAGTGAACCGAAAGGAGTTGTTCACCCCACTGGGTGAACCGAACGTGTTTACAAATATTGTTGGCTTTCCTTCAGTTGTTTAGTTGCTTAGTTGTTCACTTGCTCGCTCATTTTGTTCGTTTGCTTAGTTCGTTCGTTCGCTTAGTATGTTAATTTGCTCCTAATTAAGGTGGTTACGTATAATAATAGGCCTTTTAAAAATATTATAATATTTAAAAAAAGTGATGGCATCCGATTATCCAATTCTGATTTAATCTAACTCAATACAATAAGAGATTAAAAAGCAGGAAGTAGCTCCTGCAGACCAAACGGTTTGACATAGAAATCTAAAAATAACTCGGCTAGATAGTCTGCGTTATCTACTAATGGGAACCATAGGTCCCGAAATTCTATTGAATTTTTCTTCAATTCTTTCTTCTGTTACGTTGACACGACTTTCCTAAATAAATCCAAATAGTTGGTAAAAATGTCAGCAAGTATTAAATAGGTTTAATGAGTAACAAACTCGTACCAAAAGTATGTTGCAGATAGAGCCACACTATAGTGGTCATCAAATATAGCTCGAGGGTTCCGTTAGCCGACCCAGCTAATTTATTATTGGCACCATTATCGTTTGCGGCTGGGCCCGATTCCGATTGGGCACCGCTCGTGATTGAATGGCATTGACACCAGGAACGGCCCGGCAAAAGCAAAGGCAAAGGCAAAAGCACCAGCTACTGCGGACAATGACAATGGGCAACGAATAACGAACAGCGAACGACACGTATGCTATCATCGCATCTGGTGTGTTGTTTAATTAAATTTCTGAAATTAAAATGTTTTGTTTATATAAATTGAAAAATGCAGACACCGACACACATGTACAATTCGCTTCAAGAACGGCCAGAAAGGAACAAAAAAGAACACCAGAGAAGAGCAGGACTCGTGCGCATCGTCACATCGATGCCTGCATACCCTATTATCCAATATCCCTCATCCTGGATGAAGATGGCAACCCTGTTCGCTGTCCCTCGGATGTTTACTCATGTATATGGCACATAATACCACTTCAGGCGGCGGAATAGCCAGATATCCTCGAGTGCAGTGAATCGTTGGAAGAGTATTTCCTGTCGAATGCCAGTTGGATAGTGGACGGTGGAAAGGGACGAAGGTGGGGATGGACAGGTGGCCACCATTGACACCATTGTTCAGCGCTCAAATCGCTGCTGATGGGACACATTCAACATTCAACCTAAAGCCCCATTCCGTTCTTGCCAAGAGCGTTTTTCAATTGGGCAGGCTACAAGTCAGTCATCCAGCGTTTGAGCCGCATTTATTCATATACTCGTATGCGAGCTTCCACGGGATATATGTGCCGGGATATATGCACAGGCTCCCAGACTCCATACCATATACCTTATACCTTACCTGTTCTCTCCATACGTTTTTGCCCATATCTGTTCGGTGGCTCCGTGTCTGTTTGCACAAGAACTGTCGCTGGCTTTTCAATTTGATTCATTTCATTTCAATTCTGTTTTCTTTGCATTGTTCGGATGCTCCAGGAACCTAGAACCTCGATCGAACCGAACTCGCCGAGTAACTTTTGCACCGTTTAGTGGGGTAAAGGCTTGAGCCCGAATCGAGGGTGAAAAATCGAGAGTATTCTATTGTCTCTGGCAATAATAATCGTCAACTCATCCGAAAAGAAACCATTGTATGTTTTTACAATTTTTTGATTAAACATAAATTTTTAAATTGAAATTAGTTTTGCATACTCAAGTTAGTATATTTTTTTAAACCAAAATTAGTGTTTTAAAAACAAAGTAATATGTTATTTGGAACAAAACATATTCAACTTTTTTTACAAAAGTTTTTTACAGATTTTAACGGATAAACTACTTTCATTTGTCCCCTTTGAAGACCCCAAAAATGAGAAATATTCAAAAAACAGTATTATTTGTAGCCAATTCAGGAAATACATCTAAAATTCAAAAAAACTATTTCTCAAATAGACTTTTCGCCTGAGTATTTTGCCTCAACAAAAGGCTAGCTGAAGACTAGGTCTATAATCAGGGCATTTCCCTAGTGAAAAGTGAGCGAAGGCGAAAGAGCGGATTTATGGCATTGTAAATCAAGGGCCATATTGTCATATTCTAGCATTTCGCAGTCACATTGGCTGTTTGCCCATTTTTTGGCTGGCTTGTCGCTGGTTTTTTTGGCCCACAAAGGTCAGGGCAGCGCGAAAAGGATCAGAGGAGAGGAGAGAGTTCGCCAAATATCCAGGCATTGTTTGTTATGGACCCTAAATCATCGGATGGGTGCCCACCTTTGGCCAAAGGGCACGCAAGAATTTGCTTAAATTCTGGTCGGTTTCTCCTGGTTTCTGGCGAGTGCAGTGCATCCTGCATGTCCGCAGGAAGGTATTCGGTTGCACATTGGCAGCCATGGCTTCATTCGTAGTTCGCAGTTCGTAGCTCGGTGACGTGTGCTAATGCAAAGGGCAATTGGCAAAGGGAAGGGGCGTGGCTGCAGCCGTTTTTCATAATTGACACGTCTCAAAGGATTTTGACAAACAGGAGTGGAGCAGGAGCAACTCAAGCCACTGGGTTCGTGCGAGATTGCTCCTCAGGTATGTGGATTCATAGCTGTGTGGCTCATTTGACACTCGAATGGCTCAATATGGATGGCCTGGATGGCCTGGCCGGATGTCCTGTCCGCTGGGTGAGCAAGTCCTCATGCATAAAACACGGTAACAACAGCCACAGAAGCATGAACAAATTAATTTTCGATACCTGATTAAGCACAACTCATTTGTTCATTTGATCGGCGAGGAGTGAGGAGTAAGGAGGCCAGTCCTTAGATCCTGCGGTGTGGCTGGATTTGGGGCCTGAGAAGAACGGGGGATGAGCCCTGAAAAGAGCCCTGAAAAGGAAAGGCAAATAAGTGAGTCCCAGCCAAATCATTCTTTTATTAGCAACTTAACTAAGCCAAAACGCAAACTGTTTGATGACAGCAAGAGCGACAGTTGCCAAACAACTGGGCGACCCTCGAGAGCAGCCACTAAACAAATATGTGAGCCAGGAAAGGGACGCAGGCGAAGGACACTTCCGGATGGCGCTAATCAACCCTCGTCAGTCAATCATAGATGAGACTTCTCTTTGAATCAAACAGTTTCGGATGCTGGATGGATCTCAGGAAACATCTTGCCCTATATCACAACTAAAAAAGGATGAAATCAAAATTAATTAACGCCGCGGATGGCTGTCATGTAGGCACAGCATCTCCTGTATCCCCTGCTGTATCCAAAGATCCAAGGATGTAAAAAATGGTGGCCTCCCAAAGTCAATAGCCCAAAGCCGATGCTGTTGAACCGATGACGTCTGTGATGAGGATAAAACTGTGTTCAATTGCCGGGAAAACTCTTCGGTTTCCGACTCACTGCTGTCCAAACATGCACACGGATGAAGAGCACAGCTCACATCTCGCATCTCGCATCTGTGGCCTGGGCCACATATCAAGCTTGATTGGATGTAACCAGAGTGATGCTAGACAAACTCGTAGACGTCAGTGTAGTCAGTAGCTACTGGCTAGTGCCAAAGTTTGAGCCACTGAAATCGCTTTTGAATCGGAAAACGGGAGCACAAGAGCACTACATATGCTGGGCGAGACCTATACGCTTCCTGTGCCAATCAAGAGAACCCCTGGACGAAGGTTAACCACAAAGCGCCTTCGCATTTCGCATTTCGGACAGTGGACACTGGACATAGGACAGTGCCTCAAATTTCCGTTCCATTAAATCCATTTCAATGAATCTATGAATATCCATATGCATCCAACAGATGTGGGGTGGCAGCGATTCAGAAAGAGATTCGGAGCCCCTCCAGAGCCAATCCAACATGCAGATAAGCTGTCCGCACACACCCCTTAATTCCGTTAAACAAATGTCACTCGCCAAACAAGTCCGGCTGCCTGCCGTCAAACGGCTGTCAATCACCGCGGACAATGCAATCACGTCCAAGTAACTGCCCAGATGATGGCCGAATGGGCGATGCTTTCTTAAACTCAATTACTGGGCTAAAAAAGAATACGCCCGAGGAGAAAAGCCAAAATACTGATTTGTTTTAGAGGAAAATCAGGCTTTGGGTTTTTTGCAAAAAAAGGATTATTCTTTGCTGTAATTTGTCTAAAATTGTTCCCAAATTGAAGATACGTACTGCTTTAACCAACTAACAACCCAATAAATAAATCTCTTTGACTTTTGACTGTTTTAGCAAAAAATGAAATTGTCGACCAATTTTTCATTTTTTGATAAGGGGGTACATCATAATTTTTTACGAAAAATGGGAAAAAAATAAAATGTTCAGGTTTAAATGCCAACCGATTTGAAATTTAATAACGAGTTCAGAAAGGTATGACAATCTATATCTGGATCAATATTTCCATTGTTACGGTCAAAAAACGAATTTTTTTTGTGAAAAATTGAGATCTGGGTTTTTGGTAAAAATTTTAATTTTTTCTGTCTGTTTTTTTGCTGTAACTTGGCCAAAAATGGTCATACACCAAAAATACATAATGTTTTGAACAGATAACAAAATAAAAAATAAATAAATAATACTTTCCGGGTGATCTTGAAAAAATAAAATTTTCGCCAATTTTGAATTTTTTTATAAGGGGGTACATTACGAGTTTTTATGAAAAATGGCCACAAATTAAAATTTTTATGTTTTAATGTCAATCGATTGGGAATTTTATTTAATTTCATTATTTAATTTTAAGGGTGATTACGCAATATGTATATTGGCAACCAGACCTTGATACACCGTTACCAACAGTATATATATGTTTAATCTACAGTACCAACTAAATCTAATCCAAAGCTTAAACAATGACTTTGTCCGGGTGTGGAACTTTACTAGGTACTTTTGCTTTGTTAACTTAAGACTTTTATATATATTTGTTTTATTTATTTCCAATTTCATTTACAAAAGGTATTCATATAAACAATCTATTTTTTACAGATTCAATGATGGAAGACCTTCCGCAGATGACTTGCTTGATTTTAACTAAGAAGAAAACACTCCAAAGAAGTCCAACTTATTTCAATGAAATAATACAACATTGTACTGCATCATTAATACTTTAAAGTAGTGTTATTGGTATATTTATATTACATTTTATAATATGTATTCAATCGAACCTAATATAAATGCCCCCAGTTGGTTTTAAGCCCGACTAAAAGCGTACACATTTGCAGCATACTTTTGGGCTTTTTATGGTTTGTGTATTGGCTAAGAAGTGGAGCCATATGCAGTTTGAGAGCAATTGGTTTAGTGCATCAAGCGCTCGCAGTTTGAGAGCAATTGGGGACGCAGAGGATCGTTCGCAGTTTGAGAGCAATTGGACGTGCAGGGGAGCAGTTACAGTTTGAGAGCAATTGGGCGCACAGATGGATCAGTTACAGTTTGAGAGCAATTGGAAAGCGCCAAGTTGCTGCTAAAAACTTTGGTCAAGATAGCGTCACAAACTACCTCAATTTTAAACTTTGCCGAAAAATCATGGTCAAGATAGCGCCACAAACCACCGCAATTTTTGAGGCATTTTGAAAGGTAAATGTGAACCTTGAAGTGACGCTATCTTGACCCTGGTTTTTCGTCAAAGTTTAAAATTGAGGTAGTTTGTGGCGCTATCTTGACCAAAGTTTTTAGCAGCAACTTAGCGTTTACCAGTTGCTCTCAAACTGTAAGAGCTCCCGCTCATTACCCAATACACAAACCAGATAAAAGCTTCCTCCTCCTAAGCCGATACACAAACCACCGAAAGCTTTACTCTTTTAGCCCGCGTTGCCAACCATCCGCCGCCCAAAAGTATGCCACACATTTTCGAACACCCAAAAGAATGCTACAAAAGGGAGCATTCAGCTGAAACTAATTGGAAATTAAACTGTTTTATTCACGAAATCTTATACAATCTATTAATATTTTAAGCTCCTTGTTATTTCCAATAAGTACAAATGCGAATTATCATTATAGCAAAGACATGCTTTTGATTTGAAGCGCACAAAGCGATTCAAGTTGCGTCACAATCCCAGGTTCGTGCTTTATGGCCATATTGCCCGATATTGGTTGGACCCAAAAAGAAGCGCCTCTACGTGGTCATGTGCCAAATGTGAGATTAACACAAAACCGCTTGCATAAGTCGCCCAGGTGAGTCAAGAATCGGATCTGGCTGCCCGATTCCGGATCCAACTTGACACCAATTTCTATATGAAAATATATACCAAATTAATCCTTACCTTCGAGATCTGTAAAGCTATTATCGGAACCTAAGAAATTGTTATATTAGCCCCAATAAATAACCAAAGACCCCGCCACTATTTTTCGTTGGCCCTCGGCCAGTTGAAAGTATTATTATTGGGCAGCTGGGCTTCTCCTTTAAGCGTACTTGGGAGCGGACTTCTTGACCGGCTGCTGGGTATTGGACCTCCAGGAGAGCGGAGCATCCTTGCTGGCCTTGCTGTCCACGTAGCTGGAACACCAACCGGGCTGCAGACGACGTGGCTTGTTCGAGAGGTCGCCGCCGGCCCCGCGCTGCAGCTCCTCCTGGCGGGCCTTGAACTGGGCCAGCAGGGGATCCTGCACCGGCTTCTTCAGCGGCTTGTGGATCTGGCGCTGGATCTCCGGATAAGGCTGGCGCAGCAGGTGGCTGCTCGCGCTGAGGATGAGATTGGCCAGGGCCATCCCGTTGTGGCCGCCGTTCTTGCGGGTCACCGAGTAGCGGCGATTGGGGGCCTGGCTCGCCGGCTCATAGTTGACCTCGGGGGTCTTCTTCTTCTGGAAGCGGCGAATGGGAGGCTCAGTGGGCTCTTCACGGGCCGTCAACTGGCGGCGACTTGGACCCGCTTTCTGTGGCCCATAGAAACTGCCACGGCTGATGAAACGACCACCCTGCTGACCCTGCGGACCCTGCTGAGCCTGCTGACCATGCTGACCAAACTTCGAGTGTTTACCCTTCGACATGAACTCCTTGATCTCGGAATAGGTCTGGTAGTGGCCCACCCACAGGGGCTGGGGCAGGTGGGGGTAGTACCTCAGATTGCTGGCGAAGAACGGCTCGTTGTCCGGGGAGGACGGAGTGCTGGCGAACCGACGGTGCGGCTCCGCCATGGCGAAGCGCGGAGTGCTGTAGTTACGCCTGTAGTTACCATGCTGCCCATTGCCGTACTTGGAGGGCATGGGCTTTGACGGAGCCGACGGGGCCGACACAGCCGCCGGAGCCGACGGAGCCGGCGCAGCACGGGACTTTGGAAAACGGCGAGCCGGACCACGTTGCCCCGGGACCGGAAGCGAGTGGTTCTTCAGCACCGACGAGTAACTCTTGTTCACCTTCAAAGGAATAGTTTAGCAAAGGGCAACCTTTATTGCACCCTGGACTCACCCAAACGCTGGTGTGTATCTTGGTTTCCTTGAAAGAATTCATCGTTACTTAACTCTTAAACGGTCTTAATTAGTTTTAGTTTAGTTTTAAAAAGGAAAATTCTGTGATTTTCAGCAGCTAAAGGCTTTCACCGGCAGACGTTCACAATTAGAATGACTTGTCCTTTTGGTAAGGGAAAAAATGTGAAATTTTCACTTTGACACTTCTGTCAAACCTTTTTGAACAGGATTGCCTTCTCCACAGGATTGCCCCCCTAATGACCAACACTACTCGAAAAAGTACTATCGAAACGGTTGCAATCCTACTGATAAGCGAGGCCATTGACCTATCCCAACGCAGCTCATTTCAATATTATCCGGAGGATGAATTACTTTCTTCCACCAGCATTCCGCTTTGTTTGCCCGCTGAATAAGTCTGCGAGATTCTACACCCATGGTTGCAATCCTAGCCCCATGCAAATTGTAGGGATGCCAGATCGGTATGAATACTTTTCAATACTGTTTTAACGGAAATTCAAAAGTTGACGTTGGGTTTTAAACAATCCCCAAACGAGTGCTAGGTATTGGGCCTTATTAATATATAATGTATTGCAAATTAATAATTTCAAACAAAATATGATCATAAACGTATTGAAAGCATTCTTCGAAAAAGTGCAGATTTTGTATACTTTTGAACCAATTTCCAACAGAATTTTAAGTAACCCCTGTTTAATATCTATTTAGTATTATACTAATTAGTTTTTTAGAAAAGAGGAATAAAATTAATATTTAATTAAAAAATAATATCTACCTCTGTAATTTTGACCGCAGCTGCTGTTGATCCGTTCTCCGTTCGGCATTGTGTTTCGCCATTGTTTATTGTTTGGGGCTACCGATTTCCACTGTTCAATTTTGTTCCTCTCCTCGGGCTAAAGCTCACGTAGCCACTTAGTTGATAACCGAACGGCTTTCCGAGCGGATCGCGAAAAGTAACATATTTTAAATTCCCAGTTCTGGATCTGAATCTAAATCTGGGTTACGCGCCGCGGGATTACCGATTACCAATCCCAGACAGCAAAACTCCAGCCCAAATGTTGGTGAGTGAGGGTGTGTGAAGGATTTATGGCCCTGAATGGTGCAAAAAAAAAGCGATACAAAAACATTTACCTTACTTTATACGTTTGTGTTTCCCGAACTCTTTGTTGCCATCTTAAAAAACTCAAACATGACACAGTGACACCGTTTCGGGCTCAGATAATGTGTTTGCATCACTCTGACTCCATTTGGGCTTTCTTATTATTATTGTATTTACATTTTTTGCGTGTGTTCTAATTTCGATTCGAGTGTGACTCAAGTGTCTGGCATGAGAAATGAGTTTAGGCTAGGCGCCTATCAAAATAGTAAGTTAATTCATATGAACTTCTTATAGAATCCCAAAGCTTTCTAGCCAAGTTTTACGCCAACAAGTCTATAGAATGGCGCTATTTTATAAAATTAAAAATATCTATATACAAGATATAAAATAACATTCCCCTTCTACCTAAACCTAACTAAAGGTTTATGCCTCCACCATTTTCCTCAAACGATAATAGAGCCAGATTCGCCAACTGTTGCCTTGTTTTCCCCTTTCCAGCTGACCTGCACAGTGGGCCAGGAGTAAATAGCAAGCCAATAAAACCAAATATGAGGGCAGGTAAAACCCGCGGAGAAATCCTCCAGACACGCGTCAGCTTGTCGTGGAAAGCCGCCTGCTTCGATGGCTGGTCCCTAAGGCAGGTCGACGACGGGTCGTTCCTAACTACCTGATAACTACTGTCCCTTATCGGTCACAATGTGTTTTTAATCTGTTCCTGGCGGAGAAGGTCCTTCGCGACCTGGGTACTTATAAATGCGTGAATATGCGGGCGACGAAGATTAGTTGACTTTTTGAACTGAGGAAGAGAGGTTCTTCGGGCATTGTGAAGTGAGAGTTATTCAACAATTATAAGTTCTAGTGATTCTAACCTTTGAAAATATATTTACAAAATTGTACATCTCGAACAAGAGTGAAGTGGATCTAAAAACAATATAAAGGTTAATTGTGATAATTTCCGGGATCCAAATTGGGTAAGTTAGTGAAACAGTTTTAGCAAGGAAATATTTATACTAGTAAATTATAAAATAAGTTGAATTAAGTGCTACCCACTGTGCAGCAAACAGCTGTTCGATGGGGACGGCTGAGTGAGTGCTTTGGCGCTCAATGTCGCGCTGATAGTCGCCGAAAGAGAAATCATCATTAACACTGGGCTCCATGACCAAATGATGACACTCGAATTGGGTTAGGCGCAATATGCGAACCTTATGCCAGATACCAGATACCAGATACAAGGCATGCGTCAGCTTTTCTTTGTTCTGCAAATGCGACGTCGTCGGCGGCAGCGGCAGCGCAGGCACTGATATGATAATACCTGGTATCTTGCAGAGCGCCAGGGCGTATCTGTTCTATGAATCCTCTTATTTATTTATAAATTTTTGAGCAAATTGTGCCAATTAAAAATTAGTACCCAGTTTCGAATTATTTCCGAAATTCGAATATAGGTTTTCCCTACAGATCCCTTGATCCTATGTTCAAAATGAATTCTTTCTTAAATGAATGTAGAATTACAATTAAAAGTGTAAATATATAAGGAATATAGTTTTGTGAGTCCTAAAGAAAAAAGGTAGTAATATACATACCTACATTTTTATTGGCATATGTTGTTATATGCATATCGTTTTCACCATGCAATACTGGCAAGATTGACAGGTATGCGATAGTCGGGCTGCTCGAATCCGGCCCACTTTTATGCTCACCGTTCTCTCCTGCGCATCTGAACTCTTCGGGCGCCCGATATATTCTTGGAATTATGCACAAAGACTATATAGACTGTATGGCTATGGCGTTGGCTATAGGCACTTGCATAAAGCGACGGCTGCGGGTTCATTCCGCTCGAAATCGAGAGAGAGCACTGTTTGCTGCTGGCTGCTTGCTGCCTTCTGGCGGCTGCGACGCTGGCAGAGCAGAAAAGCGGCAGCAACAATTGCTGGCAGTCCGCTTTTGAGCTTCAATCATACGCGGGCACTTTGTTGTTGTTGGTGGTCCAACCAGTTGGGCGGTGCGCTAGTTCCACCGTTAGGTTCTTGTTAATAATAACAGTGATTTAATGAACAAATATAGTACAAAGAAGTAGATTCGGTGTGCAAATGACTGGGTAATCGAGCGAGCTCCCAATTTGGCAACGCATTTTCTGGTGCAATTCTCTTGGCCCTGGGATTTACTTTCGAGTGCTGCGTAGATCGGTTGCTTTCTTGTTATTGTTGCAGTGACGTCAAACGGGAAATATACAAACGACTCTTTGAGTTTTCCGCGTGCTTCACGGTGCTTGTTTTTTCTGTGAGTGTAACAGACGATTTTTTGTGGGTTAAAATAACTTCGCACTGCGCGAGTATTGCTGATGCAACCGAAAGAAATAGTGATGCAAATAGAACTAGAAGTTGCAAGCGATAGAGGCCTGAAAAACATCAGATATTGCAGTTAGAGGAGCAACATCAAGTGATTTTGCAGCAGTCGAAGTAGTAAATGCAGCAATTTCAAGTGCAACAGTTGCAGTGAAAAGGAAACTCAGAAAGACAGGAGCAACATCATCGTTTATTGGAGCAATATCGGCAGCAATCGCAAGTGCAACACTGAGGCAGCAGCAACATGCTGCTGGCGGAAATCGCTGCCAAGGAAAGCATGCTGGCGCCCTCTGGCGGGGCAATCAAGCGAAAGACCGAAGAAGAGCAACAGCAGCAGCAACGTAAGCAGCACAGGAGCAACAGCAACAGCAACAATCGACAATTTTACAAGCAGCAGGGCAAAATGTATTACAATTCCAATTCGCGACCCTTTTGGATGAAGTATAGATCGGCAGCCCCTGCAAATCCAACGACCATGTTCACCACTAACAACGATATGTGCAGTGCAGCAGCAGCAACAGCAGCAGCAGCAACATGTGAGTTTGTGATTCTTTCCTTCTTTGCTTTGCGCTCTTTTGCCTGTTTATTTAGCGTTCGCTTTTTGTTATGATGCGGTTTAATCGCACGCCACACGTTTCGGGTGTACGCTCGAAACTCGAAAACAGCTGTGCACACTGGCGGCAATCAGCTGATTGCCAGCCATACGCACAGTGGGGCGAAACGGAGAACGGAAAAAATAGAAATGTTAAATATTTCACACCCTTTTCTAAAGCGAATAATTTAGTTTCCTAGGACAACAAATTGTGTTAACTAAGTTCGCGGGTCATTAAAAAGGCATTCCAAAATGTATTCAAAAATGTATTGCGCCTACTCATGAACTGATGACATTTAGGATGACTTGCAACGCTTTGTTTACCCATTCACGAAACCCATTTGAATGGAATGCGTTCTTATCGAGGGCATGCAAATTAGTTGGGGTTTATCGCCAAGAGTTGAGGTATGCCAGTTCGTAGGGCTCAAAGGTAAAATTGTTTTCCTCAACTATTTACTTATTGTATCCTCGAAAACTGGTGCCACTGTGCTTTCCGAAGGGCAAAATGCAAAGTGCTCCGGCTGACCGGTCAAGGATGCGCCCACTCGAATCCGAATCAATCTGCCGGCGTAGGAAAATAAAGCATCATTATCGTCATTGTTGTTTCTTGATCGCATGCAGTAAATGCGCCGGCAACACAACAACAACAATGGAATCGACAACAAACAATCACAAAGGAGCGAGAGCGAGGGAGAGGCAACGCACTCGCATTCGCACTCGCACTCGCACTCGCTCGAGGTCAAAGAACGGCAATGAACTT